GAGAGTTGTCACCTCCCTTCGGTGGGCGTATCCCCGCCGAGCTACCAGTCCACAGTACGAAAGCTAATGAGGTTGTAATCGCAGAGGTGGACCAGCCGAGGGCGTTTCTCGCTCGTTGTAGCATAGGGGGTACGCGCGGTACTACGCCTCTAATGGACCCGCACGCGAACCGACATCTTGGGGGGCTGAGGTCCCAAGCGCGACTCGTTGTCGATCGACTAGGACGTATCCCACACGCCACGTGCACACCACTATAAGGAACATAAAAACATACAAACACACATATACATCATACTTGCGGCGCATTGGTGCGGTGCCCAATGCGTTGCGCTGCGCAGCGCGCCGTGCGCGCCAGTGTCGTGTGCCAGGCCGTGCTCCGTGCGCGCGCATCGGTGCGTTGTGCGCTGTGCGAATGCGGTGCGCTGGATCACAGCGCGCTCTACGCCGGCGCGCTAGGTTGTGCGCGTGCCGCTCACATTTGCGCGCATGGTGCGCCCCCCCCAATTTTTTTTTATTTTTTTTTTACCTGCGCTAACTCCCTGACTTTCCTGCTGCACCTACAAACATCACATCTTCATTCAGTGTGCAAAATACTAAAAAATAGTCATTTGCAGCAATCAGGCTATGCCGCACCATGCTGAACTTACCTGTTGGGCGTGTTGCGCATGCGACAGCGGCAGCAACATGTCCACAGTTGCACACACAGCGAGCAGCAAAGGCAAGAACAGGACACACAGGAAATCAGTTCACAACTTCACAACAAGTTTCTACTATCTAGCATTGCCTTTCAATTTTTCAACTTTGAAGTTTCAACTTTGAAGTTTCAACTTTGAAGTTTCAACTTTGAAGTTTCAACTTTGAAGTTTGAACAGACAGTCACACACAATTCGCAGCATGAAGAACACACAAACATACAACACACAAAAACAAGTAGGAAGAACTTCAAAATTTAAATAAGAAAAGAAATATGAAGAACACACAAAAATGAGAAGCAAGGACTTAAATTTGTGGAAGTCATGATCAGAATTTCAATTTACGAAATTGGCTGGCGCCCACAGTTCACAAACTTCACATTGTCCAAAGTTAGGCCTTGAAGTGCCACTGAATCTACGGATTTGCCGTTACGAGTGCCCCGGTCCACTAAATCTACGGATTTGCCGTTACAAGTGCCCCGATCCACTAAATCTACGGATTTGCGAGCTACTCTGCCTCCTCCCCTGACTGGCGCTCCCCGCGAGGGCCGCCACACTCCTCCTCCAGCTGCTCCTCCTCGGGATCCTCCTCCGATGATGACGCGGATGACGACGATTGGGAGCTTTCTTCAGACGACGATGACGTCGATCCGGAAGACTGCACTTTGTCCTGGCCACTAACATTGTCGTCGTCATCCTCCATGACCCGCGCCGCACGCTTCCTCTTCCGCCTTGCCTCTGCAGCTTTGGTTGTTCTTGCAGCCTTGGCTGCAGGCTGTTCGTCTACCGCGGTCTTCCTCCCATCCTTTGCTGCAGCCTTTGCAGCCTTCGTCGCGGGTGAAAGAGGAGGCCGCCTCCTCTTCCTTTTCGGCGGTGCAAGTGCATCACCTCCCTCCTTACTCTTTCCCTTGCGCGTTGACCGCGCTTCATCGGGCTCGGGAGTTGTCGCCTTTCTTTTTCTTTGCCGCTGTCCTGACGTCTCCTCCCGCACTTGCACCCAATCACCCGTTTGTCGTGCGCTCATGGCACGGTCATGGCCCTCCAGCGTGTAAAGGAATGCAGGCTCGGGCTCTTGGAGGCCCGACTTCCTGCGCAGTTCACGCTCTTTGTGCTTCCCTGGCTTTGTGTTTGCATGCCAAGCGCGTTGCACTGAGCCGAGTCGGGCGATGTCTTCCTCCTCGTCCGCGCGGTCGTCCTCCTCGTCGTTCTTTTGCCGCGTACGCACCATAGGGCCATCTCCATCATCATCATCTGCAACCTCCGCCGCAGCTGCATCACCGGCCCTCCCCTCCATGACCCTCCTCGTCCAATCTTCGTACCACTCCTCCACCTCCGCCGCCGCAAGCTCATTGTCCTTCCAAGGAATGTGGCTGCCCTCCGTCTCTCCAAGCTCCCTGCGAGTGGTCAATTGGATATTCCAATTGTTGTACACCAACTTCGCAAGCCTCTCGGGCAGGAGTTTGGTGCGCCGCTGTCCGTAGATGAGCTGGTGCAAGCTCCAGTTCCGCTCGCATGCGGCCGAAGAGCTCACCTGCCCGAGAAGCTTGATTGCCTGCGGCTGGAGGAGGTCCATCGATCCCCCGAAGGCCTCCCACCATAGTGCTGGTGTCTGCACTTTGGCCTGCTGGTTCGCGTTCTGTGTCCCGATTGTGCCCAAACCGCACACCCAAGTGTCGACTTGCTTGCTGATCTGCTTCAGCAACTCCGGTGGCGCCAAGAGTAGAGCCAGATGTTGAAACCCTCGCGGATCTCCGTGTCCCACAACGTCTGCGACCGGTACTCAGGATCGAGGAAGGCTGCAGCGCAATGCAACTCTGATGTCATGAACGCCCACCGGTTCATGAGAATGTTATCCACCGCAGCCTTTTCGTCCTCCGTCAGACAGTCGAGGATCCGCATTTGTGCCACGATCGCGTCCATGCCGAAGTACACTTTGCTGATAGTGGCTCTGGGACCGTCCACCATACGTAGCAACTTGACTACGGGCTCCATCACAGCAATTGCTCTGTCCACCTCGTCCCAAAAGCCTCGACTGTCGACAATGATGCGCGTCACAGCGTTGAATGCAGGCACCTGCTCAGGCCTTACCAACTTGTCAACCCATGCCACGTTCCCGACGCACAACTCAAGTGAAGTCCTCCCGCTCCTCAAGGACTCCAACATCTCGAAGTTCGTTGCGAACCTCGTGACGGCTGGGCGTTTGAGTTGGGCTTTTGCAGTTCTGTTGTACATGGCCCGGACCTTATCGACGTTGGTCACAAATTTGCCCACTCAGTTCCCCTTGTCAACCACTTCCTTCATCCAGTCCATCCTCTTATACATGTCTTCCAGTGCCAAGTCCAACGCGTGGGCCGTGCAACCCACACTGAAAATCCCAGGGTACCGCGCCTCCACCATCTTCTCGGCCTTCGAACAGACCCTGGCGTTATGCATCACGACAGCGACGACGGACCGCGGACCAACCTCCTCGATGACGCCTTCCAGCACCTTGAAGTATGCCGCCGAATCCTTGTCCTTCCTGTCCATGCAGACTGAATTCCAAAAAACGGTGCCAATCGGGGAGGAAACCATTACGTTCAGATGTGGTTTGTTCCTCCTGTCAGACCACCCGTCCATTTGCAGCATGCAGCAGTCCTCTCCCACTTCCTTGCAAGACTACTCGTTTCATCCCCAACAAGTCTTCGTTGACCGTCCAACCGCCTCGTCCTCATCTCATCCCTCTTGCAAGGCCACCAACTGGGATGGGACTTCTTGACTGCATCGACGAACTAAAGGAAGTAGTAGTTCTCCTGCAGGCTGAACGGCTGATTTGTACAAATCAGAAAACGGTCCAGGTATCTGCTGGTCTGCTCATTGTGCGTGACGATGCTGTCCGCCTCCTCGATAAGAGTTTGCCTTGTCGGTCGTCCGGCCAACGGCGCAGCGTTCCCGGATGTCGCCGGTGTGGTCGACTCCCCAACAGCCGGGACAAGGGGCTTCGACACCATCGTGGGTGGGACAACCAAGCTGCTACGAGAGGGAGCACTGCTCGGACCCGCACCCGCGCTTCCCTTCCCTCCGACAAGGGATTCCGCCTGCATCGTCCCCATTCGTATCCCCTCCAACCTCCTCACCCTCTCCTCCACGTCCAACGGGCGGGTCACGCGATCGATTATACACTTGCCCTTCAGGAAGTGTTCCGTGAGGTTGGTGGCCGACCCAACGAACCGGAGCTCGCAGTAATTGCAGACATAGTGCTTATGCCCCTTGCTCTTGTGTTTCTCGGCCGGGCAATTGTCGGTGAAGTGCCTCTTCAGCTGCTCGATCATTGTTGACAGACATTGTCCCTGCGCACATGCATGCAGTCCAACAGTCGCCCTGACGTCAGCCCCTTGTGTCACTTTTCGAACACCCCCCCAATTCAACCTCTCCACCTCTCCCTGTCCGCC